AGCATTTTTGACGATCCTTTCTGTCCAGTCTGCTAGTTTTATCGCGTTTAACCACAGCTGTCGTCGGTTTTTTATCTGGCAGTGGTAGCAGATATGCGATCAAATTTCTAATTTGAGGCTGTATTACGTAGATTCTGGCACCCAACATCACAACAAGATGATATTTTAAGCTCCTTATGTAGCCGAATCTGCACTGGTTTGAATGGGCCGCCTCCAGCTAGCGCTGTCACGTCGCTGACCCTAGTTACCTGTGGTTGGCCTGGCCATGCGTCACTCAGAAAACAACAGGCCAATCAGAAGAGAGGCTCATGAATATTAATTAGACAGGCCAAAATCGACCTGTTCTCAGCAGAGCTCCTGAGAGAGGAGCTGTAAAGATATATTAAGATGGTTTTTGGTACTTATACCACAAATATATATTCTTAAGGACATCAAAACTAACGAAAATAAAACTCCAGAAAGGTGTAAAATATGGGACCTTTAAAAAAATTCTGTCTGATCTGGGCCTAAGGCAACTTTGCATGTGTCCTTCATTGAATTAAAAATGAACTTTACACACAATAATTTTTGCAGAGTACTATGCTGTTAGCTTATTACAATATTGCTGGCTTAGCATATTAGTCACATGCTAATACCAAAACCTACACCTGAAATTAACTGCGAGTCAAATCTTTATGTGTTTCGCATGAGAAGTTGGCGCCTGTTATGGAAATGTTATTTCTGTGGGTTTTCTTTAATGTTTTTTCTTGTTTTCTTGTTCGTTAGGAAAAATATTAAGGGAACATTATGGAAATGTTACATTTGAATGTTTGTCTGAATGTTTTGAAACAAGTAGTAAGCAGTGACGTTTCTAAAAAAAAAAAAAAAAAGTCACTTTATTTTAAGGTCCAATTCTCGCTATTAACAAGACTTTTGCCTCAAACTCATAATTTGCTGCTAATTAATAGTTAGTAAGGTGGTATTGGGTTACGGATGTAGAATATGGTCATGCAGAATATGTGCTCTATAAGTACTAATAAACAGCCTATAGCTTCTGAACTTTAAATCAAAACAGACTTGTGATTTTATGACATCAATTACTACTTTATTCACTCAGAAACACGAGTATCGTAATGTGACAGCTGACTATACGCTGTACTTGCATTCTCAGAGGAAATGCGCTGAACCAAAACAGTGAATCTAATCACCAGTCAGGCAAAAGTTCGCTTCAAGAATGACCACAGTGCTGACATGATCTTATCACTAGCACATCCTGAGCACATGCGAGTTATTCATATTATTGGCAAGACACATCGGCATCATTTTCGTAACAGGCTGATGTTAACGTTACATTTTAAGCCTTTATCAGCTGATTCCAATGATGTTCCGATAATACTGTGCATCCCGAGTAGCTGCGTTTGTAGTCAGTAGACACGAAGACATCTCACTAGGTTTTGGACCAGAGGCACAGATCTACCACTACCGAATGCCCACAGTAATGCTCATTCATGCAAAACCTCTCTTTTATGAGCTCCAATTTGCAAGCATAATTAGACATGCCTTGATTTGATGGGTAGAGAGAGAGAGAGTACGAGAGGGGTAGAGGTTCAGGCACTAGCTAACTCACCGGTGTGCAGTACTCCACCACGGGGTAGTTGAGTTTATGACCCTTCGCTGTGCGACCAGAGAAGAAGCAACTCTGGCAAACGTCATAGTTGAAGTGCTTCAAACTGCGATATCTGCAAAGATAGAAAGAAAACACTGACAATTAGTATGAGAGGCTTTCATTGTATGGAAGAGGGTGGTGAATATTTTTCGGTTTTACACAGGAAAACATTATTATTTTGGATTCATTATAGCCATAACTCTAAACCAGCCATTCTGTAGTTTCGTCAAACTATTACCCACTTGTTATTCCACTATTATTCAGTTTGTCTGAAACTGACAGTCCTCTTGAGAATACTCACTCCAGTCACGCCACGCTCGATTCAATAACATCATTACCACACAGTTTAGAAGTGTTTCTATTTCACAGATTTTCCTCATATACATGTAAATCGAGTGAGGAGGAAGACAGCACAGTGTGTGTTGTTTGTTTTTTGGTTTCTTCTGTTCTCTCCAGGAAATGCAAATTCAATAGAATTTAATTCCTCCAGTGTGCAATATTTCCACCGCACTGTCACATAAATGATATGACACTAAAAAGATGCTGCATTTTCCAAAACTGCTCCCTTTCTCTCTGGGGCGGCCCATCTGAAAGCACAATATAACACTGAGGCCCCTGCTGAGAATGACTAAACATCACACCATCAGTACTTCAGCCAAGATCTCTTATATTAGCCTCTGCAGGATAACATGAATATTATAAAACTGACCTAAAATCCAATTTGAAGTTTGTAGATACTGAAAAATAAATCAATAAGCCTTGAGACTTTTTCTTTTTGCTTTTACTTATAATATTTCTTTATGAAGTTTGACATGCTGAATATGAAAATCACATAACTTTTCTGTGTATCATAAAAACAAAAAAAAAAATATGTTGACAACTTGCACAAGCTAATCTGTTATCACTCAGAAGTGTGCGTTGGACGATTTTAGTCCCGTAATTCCTCCAGTGTGCAATATTTCCACCGCACTGTCACATAAATGATATGACACTAAAAAGATGCTGCATTTTCCAAAACTGCTCCCTTTCTCTCTGGGGCGGCCCATCTGAAAGCACAATATAACACTGAGGCCCCTGCTGAGAATGACTAAACATCACACCATCAGTACTTCAGCCAAGATCTCTTATATTAGCCTCTGCAGGATAACATGAATATTATAAAACTGACCTAAAATCCAATTTGAAGTTTGTAGATACTGAAAAATAAATCAATAAGCCTTGAGACTTTTTCTTTTTGCTTTTACTTATAATATTTCTTTATGAAGTTTGACATGCTGAATATGAAAATCACATAACTTTTCTGTGTATCATAAAAACAAAAAAAAAATATGTTGACAACTTGCACAAGCTAATCTGTTATCACTCAGAAGTGTGCGTTGGACGATTTTAGTCCCACAATGTTCTGGAATGTTCCAGACAGCACTAGAATATTACAGAATATTCCAAAATGTTACAGAAACTTCTAGAATGTTCCCATCCTCGCAAAAGGAAAAGCAAAAGCAAAAAAACGGTGTTTCATAATTAATGATAGAAGTTCAAATTTACCTGACCTATAATATTTAGCAAAAATATTGATGCTACGTGAAAATAAATAGTACAATAATAATTAGCACCATAGAATTACAGAAGAACCAAAAATGTAAGTGAAACTAATTGTGACCCTGGACCACAAAACCAGTCTTAAGTCGCTGGGGTATATTTGTAGCAGTTTATTGATTTTGATATATTAAAAAATTATAGATTTTTCTTTTATGCCAAAATTCATTAGGATATTAAGTAAAGATCATGTTCCATGAAGATATTTTCTACATTTCCTACCGTAAATATATCACAACTTAATGTTTGATTAGTAATATGCATTGCTAAGAACTTCATTTGGACAACTTTAAAGATGATTTTCTCAATATTTTGATTTTTTTGCACCCTCAGATTCCAGATTTTCAAATAGTTGCATCTCGGCCAAATATTGTCCTATCCTCACAAACCATACGTCTATGGAAAGCTTAGTTATTCAGCTTTCAGATGATGTATAAATCTCAATTTCGAAAAATTGACCGTTATGACTGGTTTTGTGATCCAGGGTCACAATTTTTGTTACATTGTGTAACAGTTCTAAATAATAATAATAACAGGAATAAATTACACCAAATATTATAGTGATATAGAGTTAATCTATAAACAGGCATGATGTGGATTTTTTTAAAGGGGTCATGTGATGCTGCTAAAAAGAACATTATTTGGTGTATTTGGTGTATTGAAATGTGTTTATGCGGTTTAAGGTTAAAAAAACACATTATTTTCCACATACTGTACATTATTGTTTCTCTTCTATGCCCCGCCTTTCTGAAACGCGTAGATTTTTACAAAGCTCATCGGTCTGAAAAGCAAGGTGTGCTGTGATTGGCCAGCTATCCAGTGCGTTGTGATTGGCCGAATACCTCAAGCGTGTGATGGAAATGTTACGCCCCTCACCATACTGTTGATGCCGTGTCCGGCCGGAGCGACGAGACAAAAACATGAAAACCCATTACAAACGAGGCATTTGTTGCATCCAGTGGGGACATAATTACTGATTATAATGACTTATACTGTCTTTTTACGCGTTGCGTTGCATCGCGTAAACATAAAACCATGTCTGCATTTGTGATCGGAGAAATGACAAACAACAAGCGCTACTCTACACTGCTCAAAACCCGCGTTTGAATCGTCAGTGGCAAATTTTTAAATATAAAAAAAAACCTACTTCCAGGCTGTGAGTCAGAACAGCCGGCATTGTAGTCTACTCTCCCAGGATCAGGAAACAGTTCTCCATAAAATGCGCTGCACACATCTGAATATTTAGGTTGAAGTGTTCTGGAACAGTGTTGTAAATACAACTTAACCACTGATTTCTAGTTGTGTCCTCTTTTGGAAGACCAAACAAAGTAGTTTCGCTTTCACAACGAAACACACAGCTTCACACACGGCGGGCTTGAGTGAGCGGAGGAGCGGCGGCCGGCGGATTCGACAAAGGAGAGTCCGGAGGGCTTGCGGCAACCACATATGACGACCCCGGGCTGGACACGGTGAATGCCGATCCAGTGATCCACAGAGAAGTTGATGTATTTTCTCAGCGACCAGCACGGATCAGCTCTAGGCATGACGAAGCGGATATCGTCCTCTTTTGGAAGACCAAACAAAGTAGTTTCGCTTTCACAACGAAACACACAGCATCTTCACGACATGGCGGCGGCGGCAACAATACTACAGCGAGAATAAAAGTTACGTTCTTTCTTTGCGTGAACATTTGGGCGGTGTTATGCAAATCTTCCCACATAGTGACGTAGACATGTGGGGGCGTGTTAGAACGAGCCGTTTTAGGTAGGCGTGGTTAACTCTTAACTTTTATAAAGAATATCTCTTTGGATTTGAGACTTTACTCTTTGCAACTTTACAGATCTTCTTTATGCACCAAGAGCTTGTAACACTCCAAAGAGCATCATATGACCCCTTTAATTTATGTAATCATTTATTGAACACATCTTCTATGATGTTGTTGCTGCCATTTGGATTTATTTCATTTTCAGGGCTGTTAAAGTCAACATTAACACATGTGATAAATTAAGTATGTTCAACACGACGGCAACATGTTGGAGGAGACGTTCTGCGCTGCGTTTTTTTTAAACCATATCCGAGTGCTCTGTGTGAACACCCCCCTCCACAAGTGCATAAAGTGTGGACCAAGTTGTTTAGTCATTTAACGTTCAACTGAAAGTCCAATTGAAATGATGTAATCAACCTTTTAATAGAGAGGACAGATATATTTCTTAGGAAAGTCAAGAGAGGTGAGAAAGGCAAGAGTGAGGGTGACGTCGCTTAAGCCAAATTTGTACGACTCTGTAAGTGAATTCATCTATTTATCAGAATCATGCCTCAGGATTTCTTCTCCACAAAGTTTTCTTTTTTCAACAGTCTCAATAAATCAAACTTGACTGACTCAGACTTTATTTTTCTGTTTCTCTCTCTTGTTCCATTTAGTCTTCTCTACTATCCATCACTGATAAACCTCGGTCCGTATCTCCTCCGTCAAACGTCCGACTGAATCTCTGCCTCAAAGAAACATCTCGGAAAACAAGATGGTGTGGTCTGATGCGCTCAGAGTAGCCAGAGATGCTAAATATGGCAGGATTATCAGTAATACAGGGCATCATGTATGTATGGATGACATTTGAAAAGGTCAGCACCTATTGTGACAGGAGCTCACAGTGACTGCTTAAAATACACCATAGAGGCTGTGATGACCAACTAGAGCACGATGCATCCCTCTAACACTGTCACTGTGTTTCAGCTGTATTATTATATCATCTGCACACTGCTGATATAAATGCTGATAATAAACTTGGGCTTGTCTTTGAAGCAAATAAACTAAATAGTATATTGATATATAATAATGCAATAAAATGTTCTACTGCTATGATTGATTGATTTTACTGCAGTCCTCTGGTGGTTTTTGCCATTATTACCATCAACAGAGTGATTCTCTTACAGCTAACATTTCACACAAGTTGAGCTTCAACAATTGGTCAATTCTACAAACACACAGACTGCAAATGGAACGTTTCTGTTAAATGTTTATCCAATTTAAAATGCATTAATTTAAACATTTTGATTGCTAATTTATTATATACAACACTTCTTTTACATATAGCGATAACAAATTAATTAGTTTTGATCAACTACATTAGTTAACATGAACTAATGAAAATATTTCTAAAGCATTTGGGTTGTTGATATATATATATATCGTACATGTGTCCTATGGTGTAACAGCAACATTTAGAAAACAATAATTAATCATTATTAATAATTGATTTATTGTTAATAATATACAAATAGCATAAGAGAGATTTTTCTTAATTGTTAGGTGCTTTTTTCCCCAAAATGTTTGCGGTCACACCATTAGACATATTTATGTTATATTTGTCAACTACCCATTTATTAACTATAACCAATGTTAATTTCAACATTTACTAATACATTGTTAAAATAAAAACTTTGATCAAAACAATGAACAGTTGTATTTTGATTAGCTAACATTAACAAAGATTCAAAAATACTCTAACAAATATATTGTACCTTACTGTAAAGTGCTATCCATATAATAAAAACAATATATTATTATATTTATATTTAATTAGAAATAAATTAACCTTGATTTTCCACTATAAACCATAAAAATCCAACTATATGTTGTGTGTATAATTATAAATGTATAATTGTATATACTGTATTAATAATTTCATTATTATTATTATTATTATACCTTATTATTATTTATATCTAAATATAAAAAAAATACAAATAATTAATTAATTTAATAATTAATATAAATAATTGATTCTCATTAAATAATAATTCATAATTATATTATCCGTTAATAATACATTACTGTTCACCTCGCGATGCGGTCTACCAAGAATAAAATTCATTAAAAAAACATCAAGCAAGTCGGAGTTGTGTCACCTGAATGCCCTTCTTTTTTTTTTGTGAAATTACAAATTAAAATATAACTCACTCTGCCAACATTACTAACATACATCTACAGACAAACCAAAACTACTTTATCATTATTAATAATATTATTATTTTAAAGATCTCAGGTGAGAAAGATTTGATCTTGTGACCTTTCATACACAATGCAAGAAATCCTCACATCTTATTAAGGAGTAAATGGCTGAACCTCCAGAAGTCAGAATCATGCCTCAGGATTTCTTCTCCACAAAGTTTTCTTTTTTCAACAGTCTCAATAAATCAAACTTGACTGACTCAGACTTTATTTTTCTGTTTCTCTCTCTTGTTCCATTTAGTCTTCTCTACTATCCATCACTGATAAACCTCGGTCCGTATCTCCTCCGTCAAACGTCCGACTGAATCTCTGCCTCAAAGAAACATCTCGGAAAACAAGATGGTGTGGTCTGATGCGCTCAGAGTAGCCAGAGATGCTAAATATGGCAGGATTATCAGTAATACAGGGCATCATGTATGTATGGATGACATTTGAAAAGGTCAGCACCTATTGTGACAGGAGCTCACAGTGACTGCTTAAAATACACCATAGAGGCTGTGATGACCAACTAGAGCACGATGCATCCCTCTAACACTGTCACTGTGTTTCAGCTGTATTATTATATCATCTGCACACTGCTGATATAAATGCTGATAATAAACTTGGGCTTGTCTTTGAAGCAAATAAACTAAATAGTATATTGATATATAATAATGCAATAAAATGTTCTACTGCTATGATTGATTGATTTTACTGCAGTCCTCTGGTGGTTTTTGCCATTATTACCATCAACAGAGTGATTCTCTTACAGCTAACATTTCACACAAGTTGAGCTTCAACAATTGGTCAATTCTACAAACACACAGACTGCAAATGGAACGTTTCTGTTAAATGTTTATCCAATTTAAAATGCATTAATTTAAACATTTTGATTGCTAATTTATTATATACAACACTTCTTTTACATATAGCGATAACAAATTAATTAGTTTTGATCAACTACATTAGTTAACATGAACTAATGAAAATATTTCTAAAGCATTTGGGTTGTTGATATATATATATATCGTACATGTGTCCTATGGTGTAACAGCAACATTTAGAAAACAATAATTAATCATTATTAATAATTGATTTATTGTTAATAATATACAAATAGCATAAGAGAGATTTTTCTTAATTGTTAGGTGCTTTTTTCCCCAAAATGTTTGCGGTCACACCATTAGACATATTTATGTTATATTTGTCAACTACCCATTTATTAACTATAACCAATGTTAATTTCAACATTTACTAATACATTGTTAAAATAAAAACTTTGATCAAAACAATGAACAGTTGTATTTTGATTAGCTAACATTAACAAAGATTCAAAAATACTCTAACAAATATATTGTACCTTACTGTAAAGTGCTATCCATATAATAAAAACAATATATTATTATATTTATATTTAATTAGAAATAAATTAACCTTGATTTTCCACTATAAACCATAAAAATCCAACTATATGTTGTGTGTATAATTATAAATGTATAATTGTATATACTGTATTAATAATTTCATTATTATTATTATTATTATTATTATACCTTATTATTATTTATATCTAAATATAAAAAAAAATACAAATAATTAATTAATTTAATAATTAATATAAATAATTGATTCTCATTAAATAATAATTCATAATTATATTATCCGTTAATAATACATTACTGTTCACCTCGCGATGCGGTCTACCAAGAATAAAATTCATTAAAAAAACATCAAGCAAGTCGGAGTTGTGTCACCTGAATGCCCTTCTTTTTTTTTTGTGAAATTACAAATTAAAATATAACTCACTCTGCCAACATTACTAACATACATCTACAGACAAACCAAAACTACTTTATCATTATTAATAATATTATTATTTTAAAGATCTCAGGTGAGAAAGATTTGATCTTGTGACCTTTCATACACAATGCAAGAAATCCTCACATCTTATTAAGGAGTAAATGGCTGAACCTCCAGAAGCTGAAATCCTGGAATCGTCTCTTTCCTGCTCAATGACAGTAACGCACTGAACTCATCTCAAACATTAACATGTTAACACTGGCAGCCCTAGTTTACAGCTGGACTTTTAAAAGAGTCCGAGCCGATCAGAGAACTGACTGAATAGACTGTCCTCCACTTCTTTCATCAGTCTCTCTCTTATTTAGAGTGCTATCAGATGCTGACATTTAGATGAATGTTGGGCCTCGGGAGTGAATCTAACCTTTCTGCTCCCAGTGTGTGTGTGTGTGTGTGTGTGTGTCTTAAATCTCTCACAGATCTGCCTGATATCACGCTTTGCCTATTGCAACACTTCTCAAAGTGCGGCAGGATTCCCTACACTTCAATCTGTCGCATTTACTTTCGTCTGTTCTTCATAATGTACAGTCAACCAGTCATTATCTTCAAATCAACCTCTTCAGTGTGTGTGTGTGTGTGCGTGCGTGAGAGAGTGTGTACCTGAAGCCCACGATGGGGAACTCTTTACAGATATTGCACTTGGCCTGGTGTTTGGCCGTTTCTGCTGCCGCCACTCTGTGCAGGACAGGAATCCAAACCATCGACTGTGGCTCCAGCCTCATCCAATCAATAAACTGCCTTGGCTCCAGCTCCACCTTATTGGTCACCTGAGAACAGAGAGTCAGCACAAACAGCCAATCAGGGAGGGATTTCAGAAAGCCCATAACAAGCATGAGAGAATAACTCATAAACAATGCAGCCTGTCTGAAATCAAGATGACGGACGGAGCATTTCCTACCAGACCACCGTAAATGACTGTCAATCGCACGGCTGCATTTATAGAGATATAACAGCCTCATAAATATTTCTGTGAAGACGGAGCATTCAGTGATTCAGTCACACTGCCTGCAGCTACCGGGTGATTTTTAACCAGTGCAATGCTAGGAATATTAGCTAACTGTAAGCATATTACATTTCATCTGTCATACAGCCCATCTATGAATTCTCAGAAGGATCTCTGTAAACTCGGTTTACAGTGATGCACTTATAACTTATAAGTCAATGAGGCGAGACATTCTGAAGGGTTTAAAAGCAGAATGTCCTGTTTGTGTACTTGTTAAAGAGCTTGTATTCATATTTTTGTATAAATAGATGTATTATTTGAGCTGTGAAGCCTTTAAATCATCCTTTTAGCGGTGGGAATACTGTTACATGTGGATAAAGGTTACAGAGACATAATTACTGCTGTAATTCTGTACTGACCTGCTTATAAACAATCTTTCTGGTATTATTGCACATATCATGTGAAAGTTAATGGGCTTAGTGTTTTAAATCAAAGTTGAAAGAATGGTTAAAACTTAACACAAACAAATTTAATAAATTATTCTTTACATTAATGGAAAGGGGAAACGAGAGTAAAAACTTTCTGGAGAAGAAAGTTGAACAGATTTGGAACGATATGTGGGTGAGTAAATGATGACCGAATTTTCATTTACAGCTCATGAACTATCCCTTTAACATACAGTATTTATTGATTATTATATTTTTAAAAACAGCTTGTATTTGAATGTTTATCCTGTCTGTCTTCCATTGTAAGTGTCTTTCTATAAACATGATTTGCATTTGATTTTACAAACTGAGGACTGAGCTGAAATGATTTTCTGTAGTATCGTCAGAATGCCAAAGATGCGGCCTATGGAGCTCGTTTGATCCTGGAACATTCCTGCAATTATTTCAACTCTGTGGTAAACAAATTCTCATATTTCAATTTTACAAAACAAATGAGACAAAGGCAAATAAATGATCAAATAAGAAGGGATTTTGGCAGGAATGTTTCTGTTGTACAGCAGCAACATTCTTGGCAGTGATGTCAGCAGTGGAACGTACCCATGCAAGAGTCTTTAAATGTCACTTATCATTGAGACACACACACACTCACTCACACACTCTCACTCTCACACACACTCTCACTCTCACTCACACACACTCTCTCACACACACTCTCACTCTCACTCTCACTCACACACATAAAGCGTGTATTTATAGCCTCCAGTCTAACTGCTGTAGGATTTACAGTAGCAAAATGACTGGAGGACAAAAAATATGAACACTCATGCTGACAACACCATTAACACACACAGCTTTCTGTGAGGTAATCTGAGGATATCACGAGCAGACGGCTTCAATAATTCACACTGTTCTTTCACTGAATAGGACATCAGTCATAAACACAGACATATCAGAGTGAAACACACATGCTGTGATCATCATAATGCACTGATGTGTGTGTGTGTGTGTGTGTGTTCACATACATGCTGGAAGCAGCTACGGACGCTGGGCTCGATGTTGCTCCCGCCGAAGGCCGCCACTTCGCCCAGCTGTCGAGGGATCTGAATGGCATCATGCAGCAGAAGACCCAACTGCCTCTGATCACACGTATCACCCGCCGATGACACCTGATTAAACAGACCTGAGAGAGACACAAAAAAACACAGGAAATCATCTATAAAGTGTTTAAAATGTAAACTTTTTTCATTTACAAAGCATTGGAAAAACGTTGAGAGATGTTGCAAAAGACGTGATACGTGAGCACAATGGCCAAAGATGTCCTTCTAGCACGTTTACATAGAAAACACTGGAAAAGCAGAGCAGTAGCGTGCAGAATCACGTTTTGTGTGAGCGGCCCATGAGAGATGAGAAACTTTACTGAGAAACAGTAATATCTATCTCTGATTCATGGATAGATAGCCAGACAGATAAATAGACTGATATAGACAGACAGACAGGTGTGGTAACTATCCATCTTGAATGGATGGAATGGAAGGATGATATAAGATAGACAGACAGCTAGCTAAATAACAGAAAGACAGACAGTCAGGTAGATACAGAAAGACAGCTAGATACAGACAGACAGTCAGACAGACAGACAGATACAGACAGTCAGTCAGACAGACAGACAGTCAGCTAGATACAGACAGACAGACAGACAGTCAGGTAGATACAGACAGACAGTCAGATAGACAGATACAGACAGACAGTCAGACAGAAAGATACAGACAGACAGTCAGCTAGATACAGACAAACAGACAGTCAGGTAGGTAGATAGATACAGACAGTCAGACAGACAGATGCAGACAGACAGACAGCTAGATTCAGACAGACAGTCAGGTAGATACAGACAGACAGACAGATAGATACAGACAGACAGACAGATAGATACAGACAGACAGTCAGGTAGATACAGACAGTCAGACAGACAGTCAGACAGACAGACAGTCAGACAGACAGACAGACAGACAGACAGACATACAGACAGACAGACAGACAGACAGACAGATAGATAGATAGATAGATAGATAGATAGATAGATAGATAGATAGATAGATACAGACAGACAGTCAGGTACAGACACAGATAGATACAGTCAGACAGTAGATAGATAGATAGATAGATAGATAGATAGATAGATAGATAGATAGATAGATAGATAGATAGATAGATAGATAGATAGATACAGACAGACAGTCAGGTACAGACACAGATAGATACAGTCAGACAGTAGATAGATAGATAGATAGATAGATAGATAGATAGATAGATAGATAGATAGATAGATAGATAGATAGATAGATAGATAGATACAGACAGACAGTCAGGTACAGACACAGATAGATACAGTCAGACAGTCAGGTAGATACAGACAGTCAGTCAGACAGATAGATACAGACAGACAGTCAGTCAGACAGAGAGATACAGACAGAGTCAGCTAGATACAGACAGACAGACAGCTAGATACAAAAAGACAGTTAGACAGATACAGACAGACAGTCAGGTAGATACAGACAGACAGATAGATACAGAAAGATAGATGCAGACAGATTTTTTTTTTGATTATGCTAAAGGCTATATCTGCTTACCATTTCTCAAGTATAAATTGTTTATTTTTGTCTCCTCTGTCAAAGCTTTCCGAAAAGTTCTCTGTTAAACCGTATGAATAAAACATACAGCCATTCTATGAAATTATTTTCCACAGCTCATAACAGTATGCGTTCAGTCTCTGTTCTTTTAAATGTGAGCGTTCAACCCCATCTCGAATGCTTCTCGGCATACATCATTTATGTGGATAAAAAAAAAGAGAAGATAATTCAACTTCTTTTTCATTTAATATTTAAAGCAATCCCTTCAGTAATCTACATATGGTTTAAAATGTAATGTAAATGAACAGATAACAGTAAAGCAAACTATAAGTCATTCAGTTAATGATAAAATCAAAGTCAATTTCCATCATTCATCCATCTCTCTCTTTCTGACCTTGGCTCAGGGACAGAGATGACCTTGATTACCAGAGCAAGAGCAGACCCCTGCCAGAGCTGTTACACACACACACACACACACACACACACAGCGCTGAACTCCAGCCCTCTGTCCTGAGAGCATCACAGCAGTTCAATAAACTCTATTCTCACTCCAACACACACAACTGAAGTCACACTGACTCAATTTCACTGTGCGCTGTGTTAACTCAAGGTCAGCGAACAAACCTGGCACCGAAGCGTCTGTGATTGTCTGTCACTCAGCTCTGCTTTACAAAGTGCTGACCAGACCGACTGAACCTCAAACTGCTGACCGAGCACTGTATGTCATTTTTGGTCTGTCAATGGTAACTCAGACATGGAGAACAATCGCTGCTGCAGCCTGTAAACTAAGCAACACAGGGATTCATCTACTGTAAGTTTTGATCACTCAGAGGACTAATGACTCCTGAGATGAGTCAGAACTTAAAAGAGCAAAAAGCTCAATTACATGAAGAAGTGCATAATGGGAGTGCAGTCTTTGCTTTCATATGACTGTGCTTTTAGAGTAGAGTAGCTTTTAGGTAGAGCGTCATGGGGTTTGTGGTGCTTCACAAACACATTAATTAAAAGGGATATGGCTGGGATTTGTACATGCGATCTAACAATGCTGCAGGGCACAAACACCAAAATATTCAGTATACAGACAAATTAACAGCAAATACACAACAAAAACCTCAACCAGCACAAATAATGAACCTCCGTTTAGCCTTAGACCTCATACTACCTATATTTGATGTTAATACACTGATACGTGACACAGGTTTTTGGACAAATGTTTACAGTGGTGGTGGGCTACCTAACAAAATGTGACACTGTCATTTTACTATTAATTAGATACTATTATAGTATTTATTAATATTCTGAATAAGCTTTAAAGTTTTAATTTGAGTTTAAATAAGTAATTTAGTTTTTTTTTATTACTTTTCTTCTTTTTTCAGTTTTAGTAATTTTAGTACTACAAATTAAATTTATTGTATTTCAGTTAGTTGTCAATGCAACATTTATAAATTTTGTAAGTTTTTCCATCTAATATTTATATGTCAGCTTTATTTAAATTAACAGAAACTATTTTACTAGCTTTAACTTTGTTTAACAGTGACAACACTGATGCAACACATTTAAAAACTGTCATTTTAAAGAAAAAAGAACGTAAAAATGGTTCAGTAAAGTAAGCTTACTAAGTATTAACAATTTTCCCATGCATTTTTTCCTCTGTAAAATATAGTTGTTTCAAATGAATAATGTCAGATGCATTTGCATTGTGACTGTGCCTCAGATGCAATCAACAGGAACGGTCTGTAAAGGTGTGAACCAAATGGTCCATACAATTAGAATAACAAAGGAACAGCATTCCTCAGGAACTTCTTGTAGATAGCAGGATCTCCAGCGGGAGGCTCTAACAGTATCTACTGTACTGTTTGTAGCCCTTTTGTCTTCAGGTATAAAGTTCTGTCTCACAGACAGAACTTTGGGAGAAGCTGAGATTCTTAGGCTACGTTTACACGACAACGATATAGTCAAAAACTGAAAAGTTTTTCCCTTGCATTTTTAAAAAGTTTCACGTATACACGACAACGTTTTCAAAACGATTTGCGTTTACACATATCCGCTAAAACGGCCAAAAGTGCTGTATTACGTATGCCAGGCCAGTAGTTGGCGCTGTCACCTTGTTAGTAAACAGTGCCTGTAGGGAAGTGACGATTATATGATGTATATGATGCGTTTCTGCTGTTGGTTGTAATATTTTTGAAGAGCAGTAACAACAGTACCATGTACTCTGCCATTGTTGTGTATGTTTGTTCGCGCTTGCCTTTAAAATCGACACGTACTGCGCATGTCTACAAACCTAACACGTACTACGTGTGCGCATGACGTCACCGTTTTCAAAGATTACCGTTTTGGGTTTTTAGACAGAAACGATAACGGTGGCGTTTTCGAAAACTTGCACTTTGAAACCCGTTTTCAAAAATATGCGTTTTTGGACCCCAAAACGCCGCTGTCGTGTAAACGAACAGGCAAAACACATAAAAAGTTTCCCATTTTTGGCTGAAAACGATGTTGTGTAAACGGCCCCTTACAAGGGTTAAGATATTTTGAAGACCAACAAGTTAACATCTCTGTTGAAGACCTGCTATACTGCTACCTTCAAATTCTTCTCCCCACAAGAACTCTGGTCAAGCTTACTTATTTTATTGTATAAGAGAAATCGAATACATAGTGAGCCACCCAAACCACTGCTCAGCCAAATACAGCTAAATCTAACAATTACTATATAATTTACAGTAAAAATTTATATTATACTTGGCACAACAAAATATACTACTTTAAAAATCATACTTCAATGATAATTATTGGTAAAATTATGTTTTTACAAGTAAACAGCATTATTTAGCTAATAATTAAAGGGGAAAAAGGGCTACCCATCAAATTCAATTCCACAATGTATTTAAACAGTTTTTAATATTTATTAATTTATATATGTGACCCTGGACAACAAAACCAGTCATAAGTGTCAATTTTTGGAAATTGAGGATTTCTTTGTCTCCTACCTGATTCACAACGGGAATGCACCGACTTAAAAATATTCAGAACAATGAAACAACTTTAATGTTATTTGCACAACTGCAAATGGGTCAAAGACGTTAAGATGTCCGCTTGTATGTACAAAAGTGATTTTATGTCCATAGAAAGCACATCAAATGCAAGTAAAGTGTCTACTTTTAAGGTTTCAAATAAGTTTTTGGAGAATAAAATGTCAAAATTTGGTTGAAAAAAATCTTACATTGTCATTAAGTATATCTACATCAGACTCGCATAAAAACAAGCTCAGGATGGTCTACTCATCCGCTTATGTTTCTAATCATATGCATATTATGGAAGCCCGTTTCCAACACTGAAAAAAAGATAAAACAAGGTAATTGCAACTATTTATCTCGCAATTCTGACTTTTTTAATTATTATTTTTCGCAATTTCGAGTTTACATCTCGCAATTATGACTTTTTTTCTCAGAAATGTGATATAAGCTTGCATTTGCAAGTTAGAAAGTCTGTAAACTCGCAATTGTGGGAATTTCTTGGTAAACGGGTGCAGTGACTTTGGTTTTCAAAAAACACAATGGACCAACACCAGCAGATGACATTGCACCCCAAATCATCACAGACTGTGGAAACTTAACATTGGACTTCAAGCAACTTGGGCTATGAGCTTCTCCACCCTTCCTCCAGACTCTAGGACCTTGGTTTCCAAATGAAATACAAAACTTGCTCTCATCTGAAAAGAGGACTTTGGACCACTGGGCAACAGTCCAGTTCTTCTTCTCCTTAGCCCAGGTAAGATGCCTCTGATGTTGTCTGTGGTTCAGGAGTGGCTTAACAAGAGGAATACGACAACTGTAGCCAAATTCCTTGATATGTCTGTGTGTGGTGGCTCTTGATGCCTTGACCCCAGCCTCAGTCCATTCCTTGTGAAGTTCACTCAAATTCTTGAATCGATTTTGCTTGACAATCCTCATAAGGCTGCGGTTCTCTCGGTTGGTTGTGCATCTTTTTCTTCCACACTTTTTCCTTCCACTCAACTTTCTGTTAACATGCTTGGATACAGCACTCTGTGAACAGCCAGCTTCTTTGGCAATTAATGTTTGTGGCTTACCCTCCTTGTGAAGGGTGTCAGTGATTGTCTTCTGGACAACTGTCAGTTCAGCAGTCTTCCCCATGATTGTGTAGCCTAGTGAACCAAACTGAGATACCATTTTGAAGGCTCAGGAAACCTTTGCAGGTGTTTTGAGTTGATTAGCTGATTGGCATGTCACCATATTCTCATTTGTTGAGATAGTGAATTGGTGGGTTTTTGTTAAATGTGAGCCAAAATCATCACAATTAAAAGAACCAAAGACTTAAACTACTTCAGTCTGTGTGCATTGAATTTATTTAATACACGAGTTTCACAATTTGAGTTGAATTACTGAAATAAATGAACTTTTCCACGACATTCTAATTTATTGAGACGCACCTGTACATATATGGTTTGTTAGGATAAGACGATATTTGGCCGAGATGCAACTATTTGAAAATCTGGAATCTGAGGGTGCAACAAAATCGAAATACTGAGAAAATCGCCTTTAAAGTTGTCCAAATGAAGTTCTTAGCAATGCATATTACTAATCAAAAATTAAGTTTTAATATATTTACAGTAGGAAATTTACAAAATATCTTCATGGAACATGATCTTTACTTAATATCCTAATGATTTTTGGCATAAAAGAAAAATCAATAATTTTGACCCATACAATGTATTTTTGGTTATTGCTACAAATATACCCCAGTAACATATGTATATGAATGAATATACATTAATGTGTGAGTGTTTTTTTTCTTTCTAATGGGGTTATCAGCTTGAAAATAAAGTTGGCCACCAAATAGTCTTTTCAGATTGGATTAACATGATATGTTCATGATACGATTATCGTTTGATTCTCACTTCCGGTTATGATGTTAGTAAAACAGAACACAATAATACTGTGTTATTGTTGTTGATTCAACATTTCTTATGAAAAAGAGCTTACATTTGTATTTCTCCTCCAGGTGACCCTTACAAAGAGAGAGAAGACCAATCTTCATGGACAGAACTCGAATTTTCCCACTGCGACCCCTGTGGCATACAAAAACATTGTGGATAAGAGAAAGAAGACAATACTATACATTTGCCCATTATCAATTAGGGAATACATTTCAGTAGTGTTTAGTTTGTATAACACTGAGTCTATGTTGGAAGCATCCAAGGTTGCAGCTTGAGGGGGTCTGAAATACACACAACACATCAATCACCTGTGAGCTCCAGGCGAGCCTTCAGCAAAACGAGGGGATTTCTTTGTCTCCTACCTGATTCACAACGGGAATGCACCGACTTAAAAATATTCAGAACAATGAAACAACTTTAATGTTATTTGCACAACTGCAAATGGGTCAAAGACGTTAAGATGTCCGCTTGTATGTACAAAAGTGATTTTATGTCCATAGAAAGCACATCAAATGCAAGTAAAGTGTCTACTTTTAAGGTTTCAAATAAGTTTTTGGAGAATAAAATGTCAAAATTTGGTTGAAAAAAATCTTACATTGTCATTAAGTATATCTACATCAGACTCGCATAAAAACAAGCTCAGGATGGTCTACTCATCCGCTTATGTTTCTAATCATATGCATATTATGGAAGCCCGTTTCCAACACTGAAAAAAAGATAAAACAAGGTAATTGCAACTATTTATCTCGCAATTCTGACTTTTTTTATTATTTTTTTTCGCAATTTCGAGTTTACATCTCGCAATTCTGACTTTTTTTCTCAGAAATGTGATATAAGCTTGCATTTGCAAGTTAGAAAGTCTGTAAACTCGCAATTGTGGGGAAAAAAAGTCAGAATTGCGAGATGTAAACTCGAAATTGCGAAAAAAAATAATAAAAAAGTCAGAATTGCGAGATAAATAGTTGCAATTACCTTGTTTTATCTTTTTTTCAGTGTTGGAAACGGGCTTCCATAATATGCATATGATTAGAAACATAAGCGGATGAGTAGACCATCCTGAGCTTGTTTTTATGTGAGTCTGATGTAGATATATATAATGAATAATAAAGTCTTAGCAATCAGTTTATGATATTTCTAAATCAAAACATAAGTTTTCAAATGGAAACGGAAAATAAAATGACTGGAACAGCTGTGCCAAAAATTGTAACGGTGTTCGTCAAGTAAAGATGTGCATCATTCGGATCATAATGTGAGCCATCTAGTGTTGTTGTGTCATAACGTGCCACATGTCTGGTGTAGAGACAGCGCAAGAGTGCAATACGTACGTGTCGTAGACATTGAGCAGCCAGTTGAGACACATGTCCACCAAATAAGTTTTTGGAGAATAAAATGTCAAAATTTGGTTGAAAAAAATCTTACATTGTCATTAAGTATATCTACATCAGACTCGCATAAAAACAAGCTCAGGATGGTCTACTCATCCGCTTATGTTTCTAATCATATGCATATTATGGAAGCCCGTTTCCAACACTGAAAAAAAGATAAAACAAGGTAATTGCAACTATTTATCTCGCAATTATGACTTTTTTAATTATTATTTTTCGCAATTTCGAGTTTACATCTCGCAATT